TATTGAACCCCAATACCAACTATATTATGTCTATAGCAGTGTTGTCAAAATGTCTGGTCAGATTACAGTTGTTTACTTATTCTTTGATCAAATAGTACTGTGAACACAGAGAACATATCTGTGATTAAATATTCTAGCCTCAAAGTTAGCCTACTAGCTATTTCAAGACCTTTCAACCATATCCCAAAGCCTCAACAGAGACAGGCTGTATATACTGTACAGCCACTTATCATGTGATATAAGGTCCATCCTTAGGTCACATAATAACACCTGAGCAATTTACATTCACTGAAAGTGGGCATGGGGGAAAAAAAAAAAAAGACAGCAAGTTAACTTGAGTTTAGAATATTTGATCACAGACAGATCGCTCGCTCCTCGTGTAGCCTAGATGGTAAAAGCTATCAACATTTTGGCTTTTTTTTAATGAAAATATATTTTTGTAGAAAAATAATGTATATTCCTCAATAAGAAATCAAAAAGCATTGCTTTGGTATCAACAGAGAAGCGCAGATATTTTATTAGAACTAGTACAGAAGAGTTTTGAATACCCAGCCCTATTTCAAAGTTATAACTTCTGGGTTATAAACCCCTATCCAGTATTTTGGCATTTGATAAACTTTAAAATTCATTAATGTCTGATTCAAACTTGACTTTCTGGTAATATTTCATCTTCATACTGGTCCCTGTAGCAACACACCCACATCAACGCTTGACTTTTTAAATACAGTGCTACTTTCAATCAGCTATCGGACGTTTACCACCAAACAACAAAATAGGCTCTCAACTGTAAAGTACATTATGTATATAAATGTATTCTTAACAGTGGTTAGATTTTTCCCCTAAACCACAGAACGATGCTCTCCACACACATATACTGCACTTGGCTGTATGCGCCTCTTTGTGTTGCCTGGCAGTTGAGGAAGAAAGTACTTGGGCATCAAATCAAGGCAGGCATCGCGGAACTTCTTGATCCGCCAATAGTAAATAAGAGGGTTGAGGGCTGACTTGAGGTAGCACAACCACAGGACCCATGTGCTGATTTGAAAAAAGCTGTCTTTATTGTAGAACCCATCGTTAAAGGTTGCTACTAAACTGTAGGCAGTAAAGGGTGCCCAACACACTGTAAACACAGAGAAGAGGATGAGAATGGTGGTGAAGGCACGGGTCTTGAAGCTCATGTCTATGTTCATTTGGAAGGGCCTCTGGAGGCTCAGCAGGCCCAGTTTGCTGGCCTGGCTCAGACAGATAATGTCTGTGTGACTATGGATGCGTATGGCATTGTGGCGAATGGTGTTAAGGATCCCCATGAATGTGTACAGCATTACCATGAAGGGCATGAAGAAGACGACTATCATTAGCATTAAAACATAAGCCTGATAACCAGGATCAATGCTGTAGCCAAATACACACTGAGGGGCCCTGGGAGGGGTCTGTAGGGGAGGGGAACCAACAGCCAGGGGGAAAGAGAAAATAAAAGAGAGTCCCCATGTGACCACTATAAGTAGTTTAGCTCTCTGTGGACTCAGCTTATCTTGCTTCTGGACAATAATAAGAAAACGATCTATGCTTATTATAAGCAGTATGGCCACACCTTCCATTACAAAGAACCAAAAGAGCATGGCTGACACTCGACAGAAAACGTCTCCAAAAATCCATTTGGTGGTCAAAACAGTAACCAGAGCAAAGGGCATGTTCAGGATGGCCAGCATCATGTCTGCAAACGCCAAGCTTGCTAGGAGGATGTTGATGGCAGAGCGCATGGCAGATCTCTGGTACACCATCAGGCACACCACCACATTTCCCAAGAGGGCCACCAGCAAGATGACAACCATGACAAAGCAAAAGAAGATCTGCAGAGGTAGGCTGACACCCTGTAGTCCCTCCGGGATCTCTGCCGTTGGCGTGACCAGCTTTGGGGGCGACGAGGAGCCCAGGGTAGTGTTTGCAATGGAGGTGTTCTCCATCTGCAGCCTCTCAGAAAGGTTCAGTGGCCCCATAACGAGACAGCAGAGACTGGTGTCAATGTCTCCTGCCTCCGGAAGGGCAACAGTAGTGGAGTGAACCATTCTTCCCCAGGGTTAACAGGCATCGTTACTGCTTGGTCAGCTCACACTCATCATGCTGTAGATTCAGGTATTCACAGCTCAGCATGACGTGGCGCCATCCTTATGGCTGCAAGACCCTAAAACAAACACAAAAATATGGTGAATGCTAGGAAAATGAAAATGGGCATTTGAAAGGACATTATGAAAGCAGATTAAACCAGCATAATTTCCATCAAAATTCCCCTTGGAGCTGTAATGATAATGAGCCTGTAATCCACTTGGCATATGGATGTACAGTGCCTTGCGAAAGTATTCGGCCCCCTTGAACTTTGTGACCTTTTGCCACATTTCAGGCTTCAAACATAAAGATATAAAACTGTAATTTTTTGTGAAGAATCAACAACAAGTGGGACACAATCATGAAGTGGAACGAAATTTATTGGATATTTCAAACGTTTTTAACAAATAAAAAACTGAAAAATTGGGCGTGCAAAATTATTCAAATCCACATAAGGGATGACGGCAACATTCATAGATCCTGGAATGCACAATGAGGGGCAATGTTCATTCCTATTACAGAGGCCCACTGAAATTTTTTTGAGGAAAAGCTGTGTTAGACTGCATATTGTTTATAGTAAAGTATTTTTATATACAAATATAAAAATGAAAATGTTTCTGGAGTGGGACTTTAATTAATTATAGAAGTTGTGCAGAAGCTGCCCATAGCTCTACACAGTGATCCATGTGTGTACTGTATGTGTTTCTATGCTGCTCCAAATGAGTCTGTTCTGGTTCAACTTGTCTTATTAAATGAGCTTAAAAATAAAGTGACACCTTAGTTATAAAACACTGAGCAGGCTGTAACACACAAGAGTGTGTATACTGCACAAATCTGGCCTTTATGGAAGAGTGGCAAGAAGAAAGCCATTTCTTAAAGATATCCATAAAAAGTGTTGTTTAAAGTTTGCCACAAGCCACCTGGGAGACACACCAAACATGTGGAAGAAGGTGCTCTGGTCAGATGAAACCAAAATCGAACTTTTTGGCAACAATGCAAAACGTTATGTTTGGTGTAAAAGCAACACAGCTCATCACCCTGAACACACCATCCCCACTGTCAAACATGGTGGTGGCAGCCTCATGGTTTGGGCCTGCTTTTCTTCAGCAGGGACAGGGAAGGTGGTTAAAATTGATGGGAAGATGGATGGAGCCAAATATAGGACCATTCTGGAAGGAAACCTGATGGAGTCTGCAAAAGACCTGAGACTGGGATGGAGATTTGTCTTCCAACAAGCCAATGATCCAAAACATAAAGCAAAATCTACAATGGAATGGTTCACAAATAAACATATCCAGGTGTTAGAATGGCTATGTCAAAGTCCAGACCTGAATCCAATCGAGAATCTGTGGAAAGAACTGACAACTGCTGTTCACAAACGGTCTCCATCCAACTTCACTGAGCTCGAGTTGTTTTGCAAGGAGGAATGGGCAAAAATTTCAGTCTCTCGATGTGCAAAACTGATAGAGACATACCCCAAGCGACTTACAGCTGTAATCGCAGCAAAAGGTGGCGCTACAAAGTATTAACTTAAGGGGGCTGAATAATTTTGCACGCCCAATTTTTCAGTTTTTTATTTGTTAAAAAAGTTTGACATATCCAATAAATTTCGTTCCACTTCATGATTGTGTCCCACTTGTTGTTGATTCTTCACAAAAAATTACAGTTTTATATCTTTATGTTTGAAGCCTGAAATGTGGCAAAAGGTCGCAAAGTTCAAGGGGGCCGAATACTTTCGCAAGGGACTGTAACTCCGCATTTAGTCACACTGCCACTGTCTGAAAGCTGCAGAATCTATAAGAACATGATGAAATATTATTAAATATTATATTCAAGTTATTATTTTACAGAGTTCCCTACTACCCAATAGCTTAGAAAACATGAACCTGATGACCTAAGGCTTTAGTTTAAAAAGGCCATGGCATGATTTTCCTTGTTTTCTGGCCTAAAGATAAAAAAATTTGATGTAGGCATGTTCTAGTATTTCTATGCAGAAGCAACTCTGTTTATACACATCCTCTCACTCAGAAGACTTTTTCCTACCAAAATAAGGATTTCTGTGAGTGGGCATAAAATCCAGACCGTTGTGCGTGCATGTGAGCTTGTCTGACATCCACCGGTGCCCCCACCATATTGGCTAAATGTTATATAGATATACAGCAGTTTCCCTCCTGCTGCTGCACTGTGACCAGAGGATGTGGAGAGAAATACAGGGTCTGAGGTTACTGCATGTCCGGGAATGTTCCTGTACAGGGACTCGCTGTTTCACCTGACCGGGTCTAACCTACAAGCAGCCGGACAGTGAAACCCCCACAGCACTGAACAATCAGCTGATCAACACTGGATTCCCCCGGAGCACAGTATCTGCTTGAGGCCAGTGTGTTTGCCACATGTGATGTGTTGCTGGTTAACTAGTGCAGTGGTCCCCAACCCCCGGGCCGCGGACCGGTACCGGTCCGTGGATCAATTAGTACCGGGCCGCACAAGAAATCATTAATTATTTCCGTTTTATTTATTATCTGAGTCTGAACGATCTTTTATTTTGAAAAATGACCGCATTCTCTCGGTTACATCTCAGTCACTTGAGCCAAAACTGGCTTACTTGTGCGACATATTCAGCCTGCTCAATGAACTCAATCTGTCACTTCAGGGGAAAATGACAACTGTCTTCAAGTTGGCAGATAAAGTAGCTGCATTTAAAGCCAAACTGGATTTGTGGGGACGGCGCGTCAACAGAGGCATTTTGGACATGTTTCAAACATGAGACTTTGGGTGAGACTGAGCCTGAGTCTTCATTCTCCCAGCTGGTGCACGATCACATGTCTTTGCTTTTAAAAGAGTTCGAGCGCTACTTCCCAACCACAAAGGACCCACGAACTGCCAAGGAAGGGATCCGCAACCCATTTGTCAACAAACCAGGTGAATCCAGCAGGTCTGTGCAAGAAGAAGATCAACTGCTGGAGATCGCAAATGACGGCGGCCTTAAAAGTATGTTCGAGACAACAACTCTGTCGGTGTTCTGGATTAAAGTCATGACAGAATACCCTGAGATCGCCACCACAGCACTGAAACGAGTGCTGGGGCTCAGGGCTCCCATTGATTTAGCGTTTTGGGGAGTTAAAAATTTCAACACAGTGGATTCACGTTTATTATATTAACAATATAAACAATCTACGTACCCCTCCCCCCTTCGCCCGCCCCGCCCCGGGCCGCGGTCAGATTGTCAAGCGCTGACCGGTCCGCAGTGATAAAAAGGTTGGGGACCACTGAACTAGTGGATTCTAATGATCCATAATGTTATCGTCGGTGCTATATTACCTGCTGGAATTAATTTCTCTACTTTGGGACTGTATGTGGTCATGTGGTGGAAGACACAGCAACCAGGGAGTGATGTTTCCACTACTCGGTGGGACTTAATGATAACTTAAAAAAAAATGCTAATGCCTTGCTTCTGTAATGATAGAGAGAACTGTTGTAAGGCTGGAGAAGTTACTATGTCTGCATTATGCCAGTTAAAATATGGGGTTTCTCAGTTACCCATTTTGTTTAGTGTGTAACAAATCTCTTTTCATTGGTACATACACCATTGTTTACCTATCTACGGAGGAGAAATTCAAATTAATTAATGCTGCTGTTGTGCTGTCCACTTGTGACAACACCAGCAACAGAAGTTGTGTGCATTCACAAACTATCCTCTCAGTTTTAGGAAGAGGCTCTCTAGTTTTATCGTTCTGAAATAATTACAGACTATTTGGAGTTATGAGGTGTGCCATGCTAATCTAGAGGTACTCAAGATTAAACATTAAATGGCTGGAAATTAGCAAAACAAGCATGCCATGACAACTTTAAAATTCTAATTAGATTTAATATTCTACATACAGTCAAAAAACAGCTTAGCCAAAAGAAAAGCTCGGTAATTTGGGAACATGCTTAATTTACTTTCTCAGAATGAAATGAAAATATCAATACCACTTAGCACATACTGTACATCACTAAGGTCCAAGTGTTTATTTGTCATATGCACAGTTAGGAAATGTGTTTCCCTATACAATGAAATTCTTACTTGCCGTCCACATGAATGCCAGAAAAATACAAATAAAGTATAAAGTAAAGAAACAAGTGGCACAAAATCTAAGGCACTTTAAGCAGCAAATGCAGAGATATAATAAAAATATATGGGAATATAATAAGAGAATGTATGCTGCATGGGAGCAGCATGTGCAGCAGTCAATATGCAATTATTCATGTGCAGACTGAGAATGTAAACAGTACAGGTCGTCAGTACATGACACATTTCCTGGTAATAAACTCCTGTCAGTTGTTTAGGAGTCTGATGGCAGAGGGAGAGAAAGAGTTTTTCAGTCTAGTGGTCCTGCATTTCACACTTCTGAACCTCTGGCCAGAGGGTAGGGGCGTGAACAGTCTGTGCTGGGGGTGGGTGGGATCTTTGAGGATGGAGGCAGCTTTCCTATGCACTCTGCGGTGGTAAATGCTCTGCAGAGAGGGCAGTAGAGTCCTGGTGATCTCCACAGTCTTTACCACTGTCTGCAGGTGCCTGTGGTTCATAGCAGTAGTGCTGCCATACCAGACAGTGATGCAGCTGGGCAGGATGCTCTCGATGATGCAGCTGTAGAAGTTGCAAAGGATCCTAGGTGACATGCCAAACCTCCTCAGCCTCCTCAGGAAGTACAGCCGCTGCTGGGCCTGCTTGACCAGCTGTGTGGTGTTGAGTATTCACTTCTTTTGGCAGTGCAGTCTATTTGCTTTTATTAGTTCAAGTCACAACATGTACTAGAGGTCGTGAGAATGTTTTTAGCTACACACCACTTAACCAACAGACACACACATTCACACGTTGATTTGCTTCATGTTTTGACTATTGTTAGAGCCAGCTGCAAAGCTGGTGAGAGACGTCTCGGTTGACGTTTCTGTGTAGTACGGGGCTAGCCCAACCGAGGTGATAAAATGTATAGGCCTGGTGGGCTCGGGGCTTCCATCTTACATCGCCTGCGAGCATGGTGGAGGTGCAAGATATCTGAGCGTGTAATGTTAATTTTACCTGTGATCCTTTGAATAAAT